TGTGTGTGTGTGTGTGTGTGTGTGTGTGTGTGTGCGTTTGCGTGGAGAGAAAAGGATTAATGGGCATGGGAGGCGAGGAAAGTGTTGCAGGAGCACATCGGGATGAGGTGCTTGTAAAGGATGGTGTAAGGATGGGGTTTCCGGGAATGTACACAGTGACTACTCTATCCCCTTCGTTGGAGAGGAACGAATATAGCCTGAATAACCGATCCCAGTCAATTGGTTTCACGATTCGGTTGAAACGGGAAAGGTGGGAGCTGATCCAAGGAGGAGGGAGAGGGAATCGTTCGAGAGGAGGGGAGGAATAATTCAGGATTTCTCGAATAACAGGATCGATGACAGGAGGAGAGGTGAGATCTAAGAGTTGTGTCTCTAATGTTGGTGAGTAGGAGATTTCGCTAAATTGCTCGTCAGTCGGTTGTGGCGGCGCGATTGTGGGTGGCCTAAGGGGACGGTCCCGCCTACTCCTCCGGACATATTCGTCCGTGTTTTCTAATGCACTACAAACCAAAGGGTTAAAATGACGTGTGTGTATGTTCGTTGGAAACGCGTAAGTATATATAAGTACAAATGTATGTGTTTCCATGCGGGGGAACGAGGGGGTCGACTGAAATGAATGGCGACTTACTGTTAGCTGCCCCCAAGATATCGGGTAGGTTCCAATGGGTGACTCGTCGAAGGAGATCTGTCGTCCGTGGAGAGTGTCAGAAGGGCAGTCGCAGTGGCGTACGCCTAATGATTCCAGTGCCGATTTGCCCACAACTTCGCACTCTTATAGAATCGCGAACTGGCATAATTAGCGCGGATTTTAGTAATTTCCGCACTGCTCACGACAATAGGTCAACTCGTGGACTGCACTAACGTAAACCGAGTTAGCTTGATTTTCGTACTGATCGCAACAATAGTTTGGATCGCGAACTTCACTGACGTGGATCGAGTGGTTTAAAATTCTGTACTGACGCTCTGCGCTTCCGCGGGACTTCTATTTATACTCCGAAAAAAGGGCGTTGTGCCCTTTGTCTAGGATGCAAAAGTTAGTTGCAATCTCACGCGAGATTTACGATTTTTATAGCATCCTATCGTTGTTAATCTAAAGTACATCGTTAGAAGAGTTTCGAGAAGAAGTGATTTACGTTCTTCTTTAAAGAGCCAAGATTGCTCCAGACGGATGACGAATTCTGTTATTCTCACGGAAAATATGGCTAGGTAAACAGATGGTTATCGTACACAACTAGTTTTGCATGCAGGGCAACCATTGTCAGTCGCGAGTCTGATCTTAGATAACACTACCGTGGGAAGTTATCCCATGCGTTTTATGATTTTCTAAGCGCGACATGGTGCCGGTTTTCCTAAAATGAAATTGTTGGTCAGTCTCGCACAACAAAGCTTAGATTTTTACTATTGCGTGACTTCGGTGCATTTATAATGTCTTTTGTAATCTTGTCTCTTTTCGGGCCTGCATTAAGGTTGTTATTCCTTCCGAGTTGATTGGCATTTACGAGTTTTCGCGGAGCCTGTCCGGTCCCTCTTTTCAATTCTGTCAGACCATTATCAGAAGACTCCGCTCGAATTTCGCAGACGCCAACCATAGTCGCGACGTGGAGCCGAAGGAAAAAATCGTGGCGTCTGTAGGACGTAACAATTTCAAAAAGTCAGCGATACAAGACAAAGTTTGTATTCAACTATTCAGTTATACGCATTGCGCCGCACCATCTTTTTCCACGATTTTCAAGCGTAATATTTCAACAAATAATTTCATCGCAGTAGAGAATTTAAATTCATTTGACATTGTTGAGGCACGGCACTGCGTAAATCACTCTTAAAACTTTGCTGCAATCTTGTTTCACGTGTCATGCTTAATCAGTGCTGGATTAGTTTTTCATACGATAACAAAAGCGATCATATAAAATTGTATAATTTACGTTTTTAAGTGCTCTTGTTAAGTGAGTCTATTGTTTTCTGTTTGGATGCAATTATCTATTTAGTTTTTCCTGATATATATTATTTACGTAAGTATTATTCCTGTTGTACTTTTCCGTCTCGTTACTTATGTTTGTTTGCATTGGTGATAAATAGCAGTCAAATGTCATATTTCAATAATTATACGCAAACAGAAAACAATAAGAAAGAGTACACTTAAATGCTTTAAAAAGGACTTCACAATCACTTTATTCCCTTCTGAAACATTAACATTCAGCACTGACCAAACATGACATGTAAAACAAGATTAGCAAAGTTTTAAGACCGATTTATGTCTATTGCTCAGGCATGCAGTGTCGTGCCACAGCAATGTCAAATGACTTTAAATTCTCCACTGTATTGAAATTATTTGGAAATATATACGCTTGTAATTCTTGGAAAACGCCGGTGCGACGCAATACGCATAACCGAGTAGTAGGATACTTTGTCCTGTATCGCTGTCTTTCTGGAATTATATCTCGAAGACGGCTGGGTCTCCCAGAATACGATTTAAGTATCGAACGATTAAAGTCGCCGTATAGTCCCAATTAGCAAAAGGACGTTCTCAGGACATTCAGGACAGGTAGTAAGGACGTTCTCAGAATGTTTGAATCTTATATTCGACTCAGGTTGTCCCGAGGAACGTCCAGTGGAACATCAAATGAGCGCCTCAATGTATCATCAGAGAGATTCCGACGACGTCCTGTAAACAATTCCAAGAGCGTCCTCTGGAGGACCCGAGGATATATTCAGGATTTTTACATGATCTTGTAAAAAAAACTAATCTAATAGAAAAGAATAATTTTTTTTGTTACACCCCTTCTAGGGATAATAACGAGGATTCAGGGCGTGAGGTGAGAAGAATTTCAGAACCAATGGTTTTTTACAAACGTTTACTCACTAATAATACAACTTGCTTGTTGATCAATTTATCATACGGTCAACGACTTTATCGCGGTTCGGGTGTCACGTTACCGAGAGATACCCTGGACGGCCGTTCCCACTTATAGAGTGATACTTTTTGATAACGACTAAACGTACGCGACGTATTGTACCCACGCTTACTTGACTTCTCTCTTTCTCGATCCAAGAAGCGGGTATATATCTTATTTTTTAAGATGCTGAGCTGGTCAGCTTAATTGGGACTTGCCCTGGTTTCATTGTCAAGTGCGGTCGGTGCTGACCGATCGCATTTGGAATTCATGCGTGATTGTCGTAACTGTTCTATTAAAACATACTCATTCACAATCGCGAATTAAGCATTATTTGAATTGGGTTGATATTCCGAAATATTAACGCAATTCGGATTATTACATGATTAAATGCTATTTTAAATGCTAGTTGTAGTTGAGGCTGCAACACCTTTTATTCCAGTTTAATTTATATTTTTACTATTTCACATACCGATTTTTTGTCTTATTAACTACAAATAATTAATAACGCGTCACATCGCCAGTAAGATTTGAATCTACGGTAGTCAAATACATTTACGCTGAGCTAATCGCACGCTTGTGATCGAGTCATTACCAATGTTATACCTCCTACTTTAACCATTCTTAATTTCATGTCTCTGCTGACAGTTAAATATTTAATATTATTAATATTTGAGGGAATTATATGGAAACAAAACAATACGCTGGTATTTATAATATTAACTTATGATTAGGAAATGACAATGACAAAGTCCTGAAAACGACGTTCTTTTCTTAGACTATCTCCAGGATGTCTTATATCTATCCACAATATATCATAAGGTTGTCTTCAGGACGTCTCGAGACTGTCCTAGGAAGTCTTGAAGATGACGACGTGAGGCCGTCCCGTGAGGATAACCTGAGGATGTCCTCAAACTGTCTTAAAAGTCCTAAAGATGACATCCTTAAGCTATCCTCAGGCTATCCAAAAACTGTCCTAGAAAGTCTTGAAAATGATGTTCTGAGGATGTCTTCAAGATATTCCTTGGATATATAAATGTTCTCAAAATGTCTCCTGGAATATAATCATGATGATCCTGAAGACGTCTTGTGGTATCTGGAGTACTATATTTAGAACTATTAAGAACACAAATCGATATTGGCCCCTGATTATATCGCGACTTTAAAAATTTCAAATTGAACAGAAATGATAATGAAGAGTTACTCAAAATAGAACATCATCACATGAAAGAGCAAACTTGCCTATAGAAAACAGCACTGACTTCATTTTATTAATCTACTTTCCATCCAAACAAATCTAGGAAGAAATGTGTACAACAACATATCGCAAAATTTCTTTCTTTTACAGTTCTTTTTAGTTACTAAATTAGCTGGACTAAAAATCTGAAACTTTGCACAACAGATTGCATCCTCAAATCCATCAACATCAATAGTTTTGTTAAAATTCGGAACGTTTTTGAAAATGGGTGGTTCATTTTTACATGGAATGTTCCATATACAAATATGTTTTTTTGACTATATTATGTTCTGCTTAATTTTAACCACGACATTTTGCGTTTTTAGGCTTAAAAGACATTTAACTTTTTCAGATATTTATAGTTTAAATATTTAAAAAATGTTTTTTAATCTAAAAAGATAAATTAATTAATCAATTACAACTACCTGAAAGGTATTTATTTTACATTCAAATCTTTTTGCTGTTGTCTTGAGGTCTCCATTTATATTAACTAGTTCATCTTTCAAATCATTGACATGATTTGACCAGCAGTCATCACAGAATTTCTGTAATAATGTTAAGATTCAAAATGTTAATTTAAGCTAAGTAAGATATATTAAGATTAAAATAATAAGTTGGTGACATAGTAGTGTCTCGGCGTTAAGACACTGATATGTTCCTATACGCAAGCAGAGTTGCGCCAAATCGAGATTATCGGATCTCAATAACAACTGTCTCGTTTGTTTATTATATATAATACATATATATGAATATGAATAAATGATTATTTTCTACTAATCATAAAGAATTGAAATTCTTTATTTTATACTATTTGATCAGGAATGATCGGATCAGCAATAAGAATATTCATTCAATTAGAATTAGAATCTTGTAGAAATTTAATTAATAATGATCAAATTTATAATTCTTTAAATATTAATCATGCATTTATTATAATTTTTGTTATAGTTATACCTTTTATAATTGGAAGATTCGGAAATTTTTTAGTCTCCTTAATACTAGGATCACCAGATATAGCCTACGAATAAATAATATAAGATTTTGACTTTTACCTCCATCTCTAACTCTTCTTTTAAGAAATTTCAAGTTTTAAATACACTTAATCGACAACTTATACTCATGTATTATACATGCTCTTATTTTTTTTCAGAGCCACGGTAGTGTCTCGGCGCTAAGAAAACACGTAGCGTTTTAGCGCGAGACAACGCTGGATATCTTTACACGGAAGCGGTGAATTTTCCGAGATATCGATTATTATATCTCAATAATGGCTATGCCGATTAAAATCTATGTATGGTCAATCGATAGCTGGTACCCGAATTACAATGGAAGTGCATTTATTTTTTTTCTATTTACCCTACGAACGGAGATATTGCAAGAAGTTCCAAATTTTGTTCAAATTTTAAGAAAGGTTATTGTCATTACTATTATCGTCATCTGCCTGGTTTATGATGGGTAAAAGTTACAAATAATGAGTTACTATTTTTCAGTAACGAGTGACCGTTCCAACTCGTTGTAAGTAACGATTGAGTAACTTTTCCCTAATGTTACAGTTAAAAATCTTCGCAAGAAATATACTAAAGTAATTAATTTATACATTCTTTAGAAGACAGCAAAAACTATAAAAGCCATGATATTATATTATATAAATTTATCTTTTTAAAAAAAGTAAGAAGGCGATACAAATATAAATTGACTAAATGATTGATACTAAATTGATTAATTCATCTGTTTATAAGAGAAGAATGCGCTACAAACGCATATATAGTAATATTATAGTTATAAATAATGATAGTATGATCTGAATCTACAAAACGATACACTTTTTCTCGATCCTTTATATATAGATTTATTTTCAAAGACTTATCGTCATTGTAAGTATATGTTCTGTTGTATCCATTGTTTCTCTCAATTTTCATTTTATATCCGTCTATGAAACAGTTATGTCATGTCTAATAACTCTTAATTTAGTTTCATGTAAGGGAACTAAATTTAGATATTAACCATTATTTATATTAATTTCTTAATTTATTCATATTTGCATTTACACAGTAAATGGAACAGTCTAATGGAACATGTTGTTACGTAATGATGTAATAGAAATTGAGGTTCCTCCGTTTTTTAGGTCAATGCATTTAAGCAATTTCTCCGGGAATCGGAGATCAGGTTGTGCGATGATTGAAAATGATCACAAGGAAAGAATGGATAATAATTTGTAGGAGAAACTTAGATATCGCAAGGGTTACGATCAGCAGACAATGTTTTTAAAAATGTACAAAAAGAGGAGTATAAAACCACAGCACTAGATACTGTTTGTGAAATTTAACAAGTCATTACATTAATAAAAATCTTTAGACATTTCGGTCACAATCTGGCCAGTAAAATAATAAATATCAATAAAAAACACACAATTTACATAAATCTGACATTAAATTCAGCCGTAAAAAATATAAATCAGTATAAACGTGTTCTTTCATCTTGTGAAAGTACATCATACAACATATGGTTGCAGCGCTAATTATCATATTGCAAATTATAGAACAAGAATTTTCAGATTCTAATTTAAAAATTCAACTATCGTTAATATCTTCTAGTTAATTTTATGAGGATTAACAATTCGTTACTTGTTTTACAGACAAAATGATGAATCTTAAACACTTTCCTCTCGCAGATGGAAATTCGTCGTGACATTGTGTATTATTATTTGTCCATATCGTCATATATTACCGCTATTTATATATATGTCAAAAGTTTAAATTGTTCTATTATAGAATTATTATTAAGTGTGAGAGAGATCTTTCTTTAGAAAAGGCAGATAAACATCAAGCAAACTTTCCTTCAGAGTCATTTTGCTTGTTAATACTACTTATTTAGTTTTTTATGTACATCATTTCAGAAATTCTTCTTTTGAATAATGATTGTTCTGTATCTAAAATCCTAATATTATCCCATCTTCATGCATCTCATTCACTTGATGACGTGAAACCACTGACATCGCAGATGGATCTTCTTATATTAATCTTATGTTCTTTGATTCGAGTTTTTAATTTCCTTTTTGTTTGGTCGACATAAGAAGATTAACAATTCAGATAATTTATCTTATAAACCACTCCATAATGGTCCTTCTCGCATACACGATATTTTCCAGTATTAATAAATCTATTAAGTTTATTTATAGGTTTGTAAGCAATATTAAAGCCTAACTATGTGATAATTTTTAAAATTTTTCCGATACTTTACTTAAATATGGTATTACAAAAAACTGTTTTCTTAAATTGGAATTAGAATCGTTTTCATTATTATTCCATTATACTATTTTTATCTAAATTAACTCTATTTTCTAAAGTTATTATTCTGTTTTTTATTGTTTTTGAATTTATATTCTTTATTGCAAAATTTGTTTTAAAATTATCTGGGCAAATATTAATATTGTATTAAGTGTACAAATAAGTTTCCGCCGTTTTTCAATCAAAAATTAAGCATTTATTGTGAAAGAACGATACATAATGTTTTATTGAAAGTATTGTCCATCGCTAGCCATTACTTTTTGCGTTTGGCACGAATCTTCATTCAATAATGCTTCCAATTCCGCGTCTTCGTACACTTCCGGCCTTCCGCTACGTTCGTTTTCTTCGACGTCAAATTCACCGTTCTTAAATTTTTGAAACCATTCACGACAACTTCTCTCACTTAAGGCAGCCTCACCATATGCTTCTACTATCAATCGATGAGCCTCAACTGTAGATTTCTTCAAATTAAAGAAGTAAATCAAAAGTTCCCGCTTATTCGACTCAAAACTCGGCATTTTCGCACAAAAAAATATATGATGCTGATACAAAATCGCTAGTACTTCAAGGTTATGTTGTTGACAGATGTCCAATCTTACGATATAATGTTTTACATCAGACAATTTTAACCATAGCTTGCTAGTAGCACCGTCTTTTGTCAAACGGCGGAAATTTATTTATACACCTAATATATTCCCATGATAGCGATTAATAAAGAAGAAATTTACATTGTGACTTTGCGTCCATAATTAACAGTTCACTGACTCATGTAAATCTAGTTTTTATTATATTATTATCTTAATTAATTGAAGAGGGATCATAGTTCCGAAACATAATTAATATATAAATTATTTTTTATTTGACTTAATTGTGTGTAATATCCTTCAACTTTAAAAACTCGATCATTGACTTGTTAATATTTAATTATATAACATTAGTGTTTTAACGAAATTTTTTTCTTTATAATTGGCGTAATTTAAAAATTTCACATATTTTTCGAAAAAAATTATTATTTTATATTTTCATAGTTTGGAAAATAAATTTGTAATAAGTTTGGAATAAATAATCATTTTTTTCTTCAAGGAGCGCACATACAAGCACATATAATAATTTATGTAACTGTTTTTTTTTTTAGAGTAGCACTTGACGTCTTTTTTTGAAACGGTAAATTTTCCAAATTATCTCACTGTCGGCTGTATCCTATAGGCAATTTTCTCAAAAGAACCAAGAAACAAATATGATATTATAGATTTTACCTAACGTGTGAATTTTTTCAATAAATTTTTCTACCCTCGGGAAAAATACCAAAAGTCCGCGGAAAAGTTAGAAAAATTCGGTTTTTTGCGATTCTTTAAAACTATGTCAGTCGACCTGGAATTAGTTGATAATCAAACATAATCTATGTAATGAATAAAAGCAAGAACAGAGTATGTATAACTTTGACTCTCCTTTCTCTTCCCCATTCACATGCAGATTAAATCTGACTAACAATAAGTAACCTACACTTTATGTAATGTTAATGTCAACAGTACAGTAATTATTAAGTCTTAGGCTGTATTTTCTTGCTGACATTCGATTCGAACGTCAAAACAGATGCTCAAAATTGACAAATACCAAGCATCAATTTTGATCACATGACTTGTTTTGACGCTGAAAATGAGCTTCGAGCGTCAGCACGAAAAAACAATCTTATAACTCGAAAAGTGCTTAATAAAAAATATTTTATTATAGTGTTTTGAAAACGTCTCGACTTCAATTGCAAGAATATTTAATAAAAAATTGCGGTTTCTATAAAAAAAATTCAGGTTGACTTGATCTTGATAATGCTCCATACAAAATCTGTTATTTCCAAGAAAATCTGTAACTTTTAAATACCACTTTTTCCCATATCTCTTTTAGTTTCAGAGATATCCGCCTGGGGCAATTAAAAAATGCCCTATCCCGTATGAATTCCCCAGGCTCAAACCTGAGGATTGAATATTAGGCTAACAGCATAATTCCGGAAAAAATCCATTGTTTCTGGTCACATTATAATGCTCCACGCAAGAGTTAAAGTTATAAGTTCATGTATAAATACATATATGTATTTACATATGAACTTTCAACTTTTTACGCAAAGCGAGATTCAATCCAAAGTTTATGTTTCTAGTTTATGGTGAAGCTTTTCTTCAGGGGCGGTGTAACATACTACATCCACGAATAGTGTTTATAACGCAAAGCGAATTTTTACATAGATTTATAATTTTCCTGAAACGAAAAGTTTTTAACCCAAATCTTTAAGTAAACTTATATACTTACACGTTTACAGTGTTTACATTTGTTGACATTCTTACAAGTTTCATTACAAGTACGGCAACTCTTATCATATAGTATTGGCGATAAAGGCACAAAGCTTAATGCACTTTTCGATTCTTTTCTATTTACTTTTGTAGTCACTGCTGCTACATTGCATACAGGGCAAATAGGACTGCTGTCTGAAATATAAATAATAATAGTTATCATAATTCCATTTGTGGTTTGTACAGAGTATTCAGCATAACGGTCCATTCACACGATTTTTCAGATACTTCCGACGATTAAAAAAAAGTTAAAATGTGAATATTTATCTGGTTTATACAGACTATAACATGCGATAAAAAAAATTTTAAAAGATTTTTATTCATAATCAAATGTCTTAAAATTTTCAAGTAGTACATATGTTTCTTCCGTAATATAGTAGAGATCTTCAAGACGAATTTAAATCATCGAAATATTAATTTTATTGATTTTATTGATACTTAAAATATCAAATTTGTAACAACAATAGTTACAACCTCTGACGAGAACACAACATACATAGGAGGTTGCATTAAAAACCGCTGTTTTTTCTTTGTATTTGAGCACTTATTTCAATAACAAAATATATGAATATCTCAATCAAAGTATTTTCCCTCGGAAGCTATGCCTTTTTGCCACTTTTCAGACAGAAGTTGAATTCCACAACGAAAGAATGGTCTGTCTTTTGAGTCAATCCATTCAGCAATCCAATTTTCGACTTCGCTATAATTATAGAAGTGTATCTTCCAGAGCATGTTGCATCGATCGGAACAGATTATAATCGCTTGGTATTAAGTCCGGAGAATACGCTGGGTGAGGGAGAACCTCCTATTCGAGATCCATCAGTGTTTGTTTCACAGCTATAGCAACATGCGGCTGAGCGTTATCATGGAGTAAAATCACCTTTCAACGATTTGATGCAATTGATGGTCGTTTTTGCATCAAATTATCATTCAAACGTTTCAATTGTTGTCGATAACGTTCGGCGATGATTGTTTCGTTCGGTTTAAGCAGCTCATAATACACGACACCTTCCATATCCCACCAAATACAGAGCATTGCTTTGTGACCGTGGATATTTCGCTTTGGAATCGATATTGATGGTTGGCCAGGATCAACCCATGATTCTTTGCGTTTTGGATTGTTGAAAAAGATCCATTTTTCATCGCCGGTCACGATATGCCACAAGAAACTCTTCTTGTTATGTTTTACAAGCAAAGAAATTGAGATGTTTAAATGGTTGGCAACGTCATTTTCGATCAATTCATGTGGCTGCTATTTTCCTTCTTTCTGAATCTTTCTCATAGCTTGTAAATGTCGTAAAATAGTTGATTTATCGATTTTAAGTTGTTGAGACAATTCTTTGAGTGTTTGAGCTGGATTTTCTTCCAATAGAGCTTGCAGTTGTTCATCTTCGAATTTTTTCGATTGACCTGTTCGTTGTTTGTCGTGAACGTCACAATCACCACTTTTGAATCGTCGAAACCAGTCTCTACATACTGTTTTCGATGGAGCAGATTCACTATAAATTTCCGCAAGCAATCGATGAGTTTCAGCTGCACTTATTTTCAAATCAAAATAGTGTAAAAGTACACATCGGAAAAACAACTTATCACTTTCCATTTTAATTCAGTTATAGAAAAGCACATATGTAAACAAGGATGACGTCTTGACTGAATTTTAGTAGGAAATGTTCACACTTCAAAATGATATAAGTAGCAGATGTCTCTGACCATAGCATACGCAATTACTGCCATCTAAACGTGAACAGCGGTTTTTAATGCAACCCCTAAGCGTAAAAATAATAAAAAAAGAAATATTATAATAACAGATCAATAAAGGTGTTCGTCCTGTACGGTCATATAAAATTGTACTCGTAAAATAAATATTATTATTACCAGTTACAAATAAAGTCTCGATTATTATTTTTTTTTATCACATCACACGACAAACGTGGGAAATACATACTTATTTAATAAAATATGCAATGAAATCAATAAAACATCAATAAAAGCATTTCGACAGTGATTTGAATTCGTCTTGAAGACTTTTACAATATTACGGAAAAAATTATATGATACCATTTAAAAAATTTAAGATGACTTTGATTTCCTTTTTATGAAAAATGAATTTTTTAAAATTCCTTTATCACATGTTGTAGCTGATATAAACAGATGAATATTCACCATTTAATTTTTTTTTTAATTGTCGGAAGTGTCTAAAAAATTATGCGGACCGTTATACTATATCTTATATATATACAGGGTTGGCCATATTCGACGGAAAGATTTTTTTTTCAATCATGGGAAAAAAACACATTTTTTGCTGTTCATTTTAAAAATCATTTAATAGGGTTCAAGGTCTTTCCGTCGAACCAACCCTGTATATATGAGATATTTGTTATACAAATCGAACATCTAACATAAAACATTTTTAATTTACTACAAACTTCACAAATGTTAAAATCAAAATTGTTCCTAATAAAAGAAAAAATAAAATAAGAAATATACGGTGAACGCATATTTTAGCCCGCGTAAAATAAAATATATAGTGAAGAATGGCTCAAATAATATAAATAAAATTGTGCTACGAACCAAAAAAAAATGATGTAATATAGTGTATTAAGTCAAGAATATAATGTATTAGACAAAGATACCTACAAATGACGGTCGGTCATTCTCAATGTTAATAAAATATAATTATTTAAATTAAATTATAAGAATTTAAATTATAAACGGCTTAATTAAAATAAAAATTAAAATGTAGACGACTTAAAAATAATGAATAAAAATACAGATTAATAACTGATGTAAGGTCGCTAGATCCTATCCTATGGTTATCACGTTGATAATTTAGAAGTGTTCATTTGCATCATAGATGTCATAGCAGGCTCCATTATCAACTATTAAGAATGTATATGTAAAATGTTATTGTTCGTTACAAAAGTATCATGATTAAATTATCAAAAAGTTAAATACTATAGAAACAGTAAAACAACCAATATAATAATATAGGTATATAAAAATCTAGAAACAATTAGTAAAATTTAATAAAAGTGAAAATAATTGGATTGCATAATAAATAAAACTAATGAAAATTACTTTAAAATATGTAAAACGAGTTATAATGTCCAAAAATAAAAGATCAGTCGGAATATAAAAATATATAATATAAAGCAAATTGCGATAGAATGTTTTTATTGTCTAACTAGATGTTACGAAATGACGAAAACGTTAAGGCTACAAGTGAGGGGATAAAAACTGGCTGGGAGAGGGTAACTGAGAAAGGGGGAGGAAGAAGGACTAGAAGAAGGAAAGGGATTGTATAATAGAGAGATAGAATTCATGTAGCGATTCTGTGTCATTTTCCCTATTTAAACCTTGTCGTTGCTTTTTTATGTGAACCGTCTCAGATAATTGTCTCAATTAATTGCTTGTTGTAAGGCTCACTATCTAAAATTCTTATTCTATTTCAATTAAACTCGTGGTTGCAATTAATTCTGTGATTAGTGATAATGGTGATCCAGTTTTTTTCTTTATATCTGACTTGTTCTAGTTTTTAATTTGTGTTCCTAATCTAGTTTTTAACTTCGTTTGACTCACGTAGCTGGCATCACAATCTTCGCAATATGTTTTATAAACAATCTCTTGATGAGATAAGAAATCCAATTGGTCTTTTTATGTATTATAATTTTTAAGGATATTAGGGATGGAATAGGCTAATTTTGAATTTATTTTAAGAGCATGGGCATAAAGTTTTCAGAAACCGACTTAAGGGGGGAAACCACAGTAGAGCACGAAAAAGTAAGTATATTTTCGGGAATTTTTTTTGGCTCAATGAAATGATCAATCAAAAATTTGTAAAATAAGCATTATAATATTATGAATGAAGTACAAATAAGAATTTTTTCATACATTTTTAGTACAAAATGGCGGCTGTGCCGCACTTGTCCGATGGCGCCTATTTTTGAAGGAGGGACCATGGGCGGACATCTAGAGTCCTCAATTTTTGACCTGGAACAAAAAATGACAGTTTTTTAGGTTCTATATATCAATAGCTATGGAAGTACGTAGGATTTTTTCGATATATTAATTTTTCACAAAATGATGCACGTTTTAAGGAAAACTTGCAAATTTAACAAAAAAAAACGCCATAAAATTGTTGATAAAAAAAACCATGTAATATAAAAAAAAACCCTACG